GGGAGGCGTCGCCTGGGCCAGGGAGAGAGCAGGGGGGCAGACCCCAATCGGGGGGTGGAATGCATGTGCATGGCGGGGGGGCTGTGTGCCCCATCCTGCTCCAGCTGCCGAAAGCAGCCCCGCAGCCTCCCGCTGCACGCTCCCCAGCACCGGGCGGGCAGGGGCTGGGAAGCGCTCTCTCCCAGACCGCAATGCATACGTTGGAAAGGAGGGAGGAAAGGGAGAGGAAGAGGAGTATATACCTTCGAGAACTGTCAACCATGCAGAGTGATGGGAGATCCCAATAGAATTACCCGCCAAACATGTATACTCCCCAGCATCCTCAAAAGAGACATTCCTTAAGTGAAGGACTTCCATCTCTTTGTCTGTGGTGTTAACGCCAGCCGTCTAGAAGGAAAAACGGAAGCAAAAAACGGAGAAGCAAACGACATGAGATCTTCTGGGAAGGAGGCCAGAGAGGAGGGAGAGCCCAGTCGCATTCGCCAGACCCCCGGGGAGCAGACAGAGACCACTGCAGACCTGCTAGAGACCCTCCGGATGACCACTCATCCGGGCGGCCCTAAGGAGACGCTGGTTAAAAACCCGTCACCAAACGGAGTGTCCTGCCCATCTGAACATGCTGGCGATGGGCCACATGGAGAAATAACCCTCAGGCAGGGGCGGCCGGCTGGCTGGCACAACACGGGGGGCACAAGGACAGAGACAGGAGGAGGGAGGCAGGAGGGCAGCACGGACGGGGGTGCAGTGCCGTGTCGTCCCCAGCCCCGCGGCAGACGGGGGGCTCGGGCTGGGTGCAACGGCGTGGGCTGGTAGCACCCACGGGGACCCGGGACTGGCGGTGCCAGACCCACCGGGCTGTCCCGGTGTCTGTGTGAGGGGGTGGGAAGCACACAGGAGAAACACTGGGGCGGACACACAGAGCACAAACACGGAGCCGGCCCCGCCGAGTATTTTTCCATGGCTTGTCGCACCAGAAACACAGCAGAAACAAGAGAGCCCAGAGTTTTGTTTTCCACTGACGGTCCAAGGAAACACCCCGCCGGGCGTTCTTCCGATTACCTTTTGCCAGAGGTCTGGTGACAGTGAGCCACGCAGACTGGTTGGCCTCGCCAATATAATTGGAAACCTTACAAACATACTCCCCGCTCTCCGCCTCTGTCACATTATACAGGGTCAGCACCTCCGCATCAGAGCTATTAATCCCCGAGTGCTGGAACAGACCAACAACATGGAGTCACATTGACGCGGTCCAGAACGGCAGCGCCCGGAGCATAGGCACTGGCTCTGCCGGCGTGGGGGGCTGCTCCCCCCCC